GTTAGGCTATAGATTGGTCCAAATGGTGGTTGAGCTCTTTTATGAAGATTAATGGAACAATCATAAGGTTGATGCTCTAGAAGAATATCTGCATCTTTTTTTCTCAAAATGTCTTAGAAATCTTGATATTGGCTAGAAATACCACTTGACATCTTTTCACCATAAAAAATGGGTGTGGTATATAAAGCAAAAGATAACCCTTCTTTTGTAGTATGCATAAAAGCTTTTACTTTTACTAATAAGGAATTAGATGTATTAGGCTTATATATTTTTATATAACTAAAGATATTTTGGATTAAACTATCAAAAAAATTAAGGTTACAAGAAATCCAATCTATTTGAGGATTATACTTTTTTAACCAAGATAATCTTAAAATAACTTAATTAGACATAGATCTTATTATATTAAATATTATTATGATATTATAATCTTTAATTGCTATATCTAAAAGAACAATCTTATATGTAATATCTCCAAAAAATAGCAAACAACTATCTATGACTTCTATATGTATATGTTTAATTTTTTTGACTAATGATATCTCTTGTTTTTTGATAAAATCTTTATCAATGAAATAGGCTGAGACTCTTGAATCTAACACAGCTAAGACTTTGTGATTTTTTGGTCCTAAATAAACCTATATTATAAAACAAGGTGAAGGATTTGAGGACATAATAGGACCTTTATTAGGAGTTATATAAGATTCCAATTGCATGGTACTTATTGCGGTTGGAAGAACTTGTTTTTTGATACATCAACTTTTTTGGTAACCATACTTCTCATTTTATCGTTGCGTTGTTTCTTTGAATAATATTCAGCAATGTGTTTAGCTTCTCTATAATAAAAGCATAAGCCCTCCTGATATTGTGAAGTCTTTTTGTGCTTTGTAAGGAATTTAAAACATATCGTATCAATTTGCATTGATTCTAGCCTTAATGAATGAGTTTCTAAAAACTTAGGATCTATCGCCATTGTTTGATTTGTTCCTCTCCAACTAAGTCTTTGTTCTTGACGTCTTTCAAATAATCGATTGTTGCATGCAATGACTTGAGCAATAAATTGTTCTAAAGATTTTGCCTTTGGTATTGTCAATAAAAAATCTTTGACATTATCTTTCAATTCATATCAAAATTGATTGATAAAGACTTTATCATTTTAGTCCATGTTACAAAGGAGGTATTAGAATTTAATAGCATATATGATAGTTGACTATGATCTTTGCCATAAAAATAAGAGCTTAGTTTTTATTACTCTTTTTGATCACTTTTTCCTAATTTGGTCGTAAACACTTCTAAGAATGAATTAAAATCATAAAAGAGTCACAAATCTTTTTTCTATTAAAGATACAAATCAACAAAGAGAACTTCCTAATAGAAGTGCACCTATAAATTCAACTTGAGTAAATCCATTAGTATATTGGAAGAGATGCAATCTTAGATAGAATTTAATTTATTATAAAAATCTTCAAAATTTTGATTTTTTTCCATCAAACTTCTCTATTACATTAATCTTTGTTTCCATCATACTTGTAGAAGCAAAAGTCTCTAGATTTGGTTGTGAGGTCGATCTACTTGCTTCCTGTAACAACACAATTTTTTGCTGCAGACTTAAAACTTCTTCCATAGGCATAGGAATAGGACCTCCTTGACTTAAGTTAAAAATACGTGAGATTTCTACTCTTAGAGTATTGACAAACTCATGAAGTTCTGCAATAGTTGCAAATCTATTCTCATTTTTGTTGAGAGTAGCATCTATAATCTTTTCTTTCAAAGATAATTCAAAAAAATTCAAAAAGTCAAATTAGAGGAAGGTAATCCACAAGCTCTAATATTAAATAAAAATTTCAAAAAAGATGGATAATCTACTTTATTTAAGGAAAAGATTAGTATTAAAAAATAAGATTGTTTGTTTAAAGGTGGATAGTCTATAACCTTCAAAATATAACAATAGAAGTGGAGTAATCCACTCACTTCTAAAACAAGATAGAAATAATAAGTTAAGATTCTTATCAAATTATCAAAGACATGAATTTTGAAGAAAAAAATCCTCAATATACTCTTGAGTCATTGAAAAGAAGTAAAAAGTCACTGAATGATGATATAATATTGAACTAGAATGGCTATTACTAAAAAAAGAAGATTAGAAAGTCTTAAAACAAGACTAAAGACTTGAAAAGCATTGATAAGAATGAAGAAGGCTTCACTCTTGCCTCCATATATACTCTTAATTAGGAACTATGTGACAATGTCCTATAGAACCTCCAAAATGTGTTGACTTTGTAAGATACATATCATAACTTGCAAGGCAAATTTTCTATATGTATGCCATATAGTTAGCTTGTTCTAGAAGCTATCAATACATAGTTAAATTATTGACGAAGTTTCTAGCCTATCAATCAACTACAAATACATGTAAAGTCAAAGCAACATCTAAGAAGCTTTTTTAGAAGGTATTATGAAATGAATCTATTTTTATTTACTTTTATCTACTTCAACCTAATCATATAGGTATTTATTAGAATACATATGTATGTCTATAACAATTGTCAAATATGCTTGGCATATCTTGCAAGCATGTTTTTAAAGAAATTAATAGAAAAAATAGAAGCTTCAAATGACATACTTTCATTACTACTAATAGATATACAAACTTATTCTTGGTGCTTCTAATCCCATTAAAATAAAAAAAATAAAAATCAATAAATTTAGGCATACAAGAATTTTTCAACAAAATTGAAAGAAGACATGAAAACTTCTTTTCTTATCAAGAATTTAATCTAAAGCAAGTAATTTTTGTATTAGATTTTAACATTATAGAAAAAAATTGATTTGATATATATCTATTATTGGCATTTAATAATAATATCTTAGGATTATTTTTAGAATATTCTATTAGATTCTTAAAAGATTCTTAAAATATTCTTAGAAGACTCCAAAAGATTTTTAAAATATTCTAATAGATTCTACAAAGTTCTAGGAAGATTAAAGAAGTTGTCTAAGAAACTTCTTAGAATTGCTTCATGCTTAAGCAACATGAAAACTTCTTGAGAAGCTTTTTAAGGATGCTTCATTTTCAAGCAATAAAAAAAATTCTAAAGAAGCTTCCTAATACCTAATATATATTGGAGTTGAGGATGAAGAAATCTTATCACAGATATACATAAGTATTCTAGTAAATACCTATATGATTAAGTAGAAGTAGGTAAAAGTAGATACAATTTCATAATACCTTCTGGAGAAGCTTTCTAGAAGCTTCATAGATGCTACTTTGATTTTATATATATTTGTAGTTGATTGGTAGATTAGAAACTTAATCAACAAGTTAATCACGTATTGATAGCTTACAAAACAAGCTAATTATGTAGCACACATATAAAAAACTTGCCTTGCAAGTTAAGATACATGTCTTGCAAAGTCAACATGTTTTGGAGGTCCTATAGGACATTACTATGTAGGTCCTAGTTAAAAGTATATATGGAGGCAAGAATGAAGCCTTCTTCATTCAACGCCTTTCTAGTCTTCAGTCTTGCTTCATAACTTTCTAATCTTCTTATTTTTGGCAATAGGCATTTTAGTTTAATATTATATCATCTTTGAGTGACTTTCTAGTTTTCTTCAGTGACACAAGAGTGTATTGAGGATTTTCTTTCTTTGAAATTCATGTCCTTGACAGATCTTCACTCTCAAGAATACATCTTTTAGAGCTCTAATTTACTTCTTTTAGTGTTAATCTTGCATTCATCAAGTTTAAACAAGTTATCGTTAGCTTTCTTATTAAAATTCTTCAATTCATCTTTTTGTTTGGTTTTTTGTATAATATATTTGTCAAAATATCTATACTTGTGGATGACTTTTTGAAAGTTTAGTACATACAAGCTCTTTTAGACTCAAATTGGTAGATAAGAAGAACAAATCAAGGTATAAAAATTACAGATATTGTAATTAAATTATTATCTTTAATGATTTCATATACTCTATTCATAGAGATTTTTTAGCAAGTGTATAATATCTAATTGATGATATTAGTGTACAACATCTAGTACCAACAAATAATATTTTTTGTGCAAAATCAAATGGATGAAATTAGCATGCAACATCCAATACTAACAAATAATATTTTTTTGTGCAAAACTAAGTGGATGAAATTGACTTACAAAATCTTATGCCGACAAATGATACTAGCAATGACAATTAGGAGTGAAAGTAGTATAAGTAGAGATGACAAATTTAACATGTAAGAATTATAATTGATAAAAATAAAATTACTTTTATATATAAAGAAAATTTTTACCGAGAGGGTAAGGAATGAAGTCTTATTAATATAAGTGTAATATCATGCTACCATATATTTTATTTCATTTAAAAATATACTTATACACTTTTTTAGTTTAAATAAGTTTTTTTTTAAAATATCATAAAAGTTCTATATTTAAAAATATTAAATATTTTATAATATGTCAATATAAATACAATAAAAACTTACAATTTATAGATCATGCACCTTTGAATTAGCAAAAATATCTTTAATTGAAAATATTTATTTTTATCAAAATACTCTATTTTAACTATGTAAAATTGCACAATTTCATACCAATCATCTTACTTATTTATTTATTTTATTTAGATAGTTTATCTAATTGGAAGCACAAAAATAACACATTGAAACTAATTATGATAATTATGATAAATTTAATTAATTAAAATAAACTTTCGTAATAGCCAAATAGTAACATAATTCAATCTAAAAAAAATTAGGAAATTTTTTTTGACAATTTCTTACAGATGCATCAATCGAAGGCAAAAATATTTATGAAAGAAAAAGAAAATGAAATCTCTCCCTGCGTTCTCCCCGTGGAAGCAGTCATGGGTTCGAACCTGGCCGTAGACCTGCAAAGGGGGGGCTCCGATGGAGAGTCCATGCAGACAAGGCCAGGCAGGCAGGCACGCTGGCTTATCTCCTCCTCCTCGTCCTCCTCTTCTCCTTCTACTTCCACCCTCCCCATCCTTTCCTATTCCTTCCTTTCCTTTTCCTTCCTTTCCTTTCATACGCTCTTCACCGCACCGCACCGCCTCGTTTACTTACCCCTTTCCTTGCTTTGTCTTGCTTCCAGTTGCGGCAACGCCGCGAAGAGTACCTTGGGCGCTTCATCATTCGATGCGATCGTGTGACGTAAGACATCCTTTTCAGTGCTGTGCTCGCTGCACTCGCTGCTTCAGGGGCGTGAGCGCATAATCCGGAGGGAGCCTTGCATTGCCAGGTTGAGGAGACTTTCGTGGCGCTTTACCTTGGGATTGATGATTGCGAAGGGATCGGCGCGAGAGCGAGGAGGCTGAGGGCGCGTGCATATGAGGGGCTGTTTTTGTGGGAAGTTGTAAAGGCCTTTTTTGTGGTTGTCTTGGTGGGGTGGGAGCAGTGGCAGGAGAAGAGAAGAGAAGAGGAGAGTGGGTGAGTGAGTGAGAGAGAGCGTCACGCTGGAGAGGGCGGTTTGGAGCCTGGGAGGGGGGATCGCCAATGCGTTCTTCAACTCCTTAGAACGGTATTCGTGTGTGGCGCTTAGTGTCACAGACAGCGACGACGAGGACGGGGAGGGGGGGCGGAGAGCCTGCGCCAGCCGGTTTGGCGGTATGGGGCTTGATAAAGGCGACCATGAGGACAGCGGGATCGGCGCCCTACGCCTCGTGGGTTGCGATCGGTTTGTGAGGAATAATCCCAAGACAGATCATTTCGGGGTGCAGCGCTTTCATCACATCGAATTCTGGTAATCAATCGCGCTTTGTTAGGAAGATTAAAATTATCTTTTTTTTTTTTTTTTTTTTTTTTTTTGCCCTCCCATCCTTCTTCTTGTTGGAAATCTTTTTGTGTCTGAACGAAGTGAAAGATCGTGAATGGTTTCGGAGTTGGCTTACGGATTTGAATTCTCAATGCTCATTGTACCATGCTTTTTCATTGTCTTTCTGGCAACAACGTAGGATTTGAAATGTTTGCTCTAGTGGGTAGGTGCGCATGGCAGTGTTAAATAGTTTTGGACACAGTGCGTCTGTTGTGCTATTGGTTTTTATATCTAATGACGAGGATTAGATATTCGCCTCTCCTTTTTCATGCTTTGATTTGCGAGGACATCTTCTAGTTTTTCTTGTTTCTCTTCTTTCTCTTGGCGAGGGATTGAGGAACAAGCTTCTCTTCTACTGATAATCAAGTTTCTTTGGCTCTCGTTCTACATCTTTAAAATATTGCAGTTCTGGTTGGTTTTTACCTTATAGTCTGTGCTTGGAGAGATTGTTTCGATGGAAAATTTAATTGATGCTCATGTCCTCAGCAATCTCTGATTTATTGTGAAGCAATAATTCGTGAGTATTTGTATCTGTAGGTGTGGGGATGCCTCGAATACGTGGAGGAGGTTCTCCTGGGGTTTAGGTATGCACCTTGTAGCAAAATCGGATCAGACGACTGGGAACCAAACATATTGCAGCTATGCTATTCAGTCAAATGAGCTCGTGTTTGCCTTTACTGCCCCTTACTCATCTAAGATTGATCAGACCAATACCAAAATGCCTCACCCTGGCTACAAGAGTAAGGAGGCCAGAAGTTTTGTTGATGCGCACGGACTGGCCGTGAGGGCGGTGGGAATCCTAGTGGATGATGCTGCTGAAGCTTATCGCACTAGTGTTGAGCATGGAGCACTTTCCGTGTTGGAACCTCATGTTTTGAGTGATGATGCGAAGGGTGGTAAAATGTCTATGGCAGAGGTGAAGCTCTATGGTGATGTGGTTTTGAGATATGTTAGCACTCAGGGATACAAAGGGCCTATGTTACCCAATTATGAGGACGTTGAATCGCTTCCTCTTACGTATGGTCTTGTACGACTTGATCATGCTGTGGGGAACGTACATAATCTGGCAGAGGCCGTAAGCCAGATTTCTAAGTACACAGGTTTTCACGAATTTGCTGAGTTTACAGCTGATGATGTGGGGACTTCAGAGAGTGGGCTCAACAGTATGGTCCTGGCCAGTAACAATGAAATGGTTTTGCTTCCTCTCAATGAGCCTACTTTCGGAACTAAACGGAAATCTCAAATTCAGACTTATCTAGAGCACAATGAAGGTCCAGGGCTGCAGCATCTTGCTCTAATTTGTGATAACATCTTTTCAACTTTAAAAGAAATGAGGACTCGCACACACATTGGAGGTTTTGACTTCATGCCCAAACCCCCTGCTACTTACTACAAGAATTTGGCCAATCGAGTTGGAGATATCCTCACCGAGGAACAGATCAAGCAGTGTGACGAGCTTGGGATTCTTGTCGACAAGGATGATCAGGGTGTGTTGTTGCAGATTTTTACAAAGCCTGTGGGTGACAGGTGTGTCTGTTGCTCTACATAGCACATTTTCGGTCCTATAGTTCTTGCGCCTTTGTTGACGATTGTGCCAAGCAACCTGTAGTTTAGCTTTAGTTTGCGTCTCTTATGTGTCGAGAAATATAATTACTATCGGTAGTGGAAGGGAGTCTGCTGTCATTTTACAAGGTTCTTTTTGAGACTCTGAATTTTTTTTTTCTGCTGTAGATGAGAAGCTTACGGGTTTTCAGAATTTGTATATTCTATTAAGGAATTGTATTCTTTGCGCAGACCAACAATATTCATAGAAATCATTCAGAGGATTGGATGCATGGAGAAAGATGAAACCACTGGCGTATCAGTTCAGAGGGGAGGTTGCGGTGGCTTTGGCAAGGGAAACTTTTCGGAGCTGTTCAAATCTATTGAAGAGTATGAAAAAACTCTTGATGGCACTATAAAAGCGTAATAAATGATTAAGACTGTAGGACATTTTTATGCTGTTTGCATGTAGGTACACAGATTCTTTATGACGAGGATCTAACTCTGATTTTAGGGGGAATATTTGGCTAAGTTTTCACAGGAGAGGAGTTTGAGTTCTTGCTTAACATATTTTTGACAGGTCGTCAAATACTTAGGGTAGCTGGACCTTCACATACATGCTTTATTAGTTGAAGCATCCACTATACCAGCGGTAATTGACAATTTGGACTGAGGAGTTTGAAGCTCCTTGTAAATGTAATATCGTTCAAGTCACTGAATATATGCGGGCGTTTTTGGAATCAGTGTTCTGTATTGTGCATGGGACCTTGTGATCCTTTAGCAGGGGCAGCAAAGGCAATTTGAATATACTTAAGCACTGATCATGTTAATTACTTCATACTTTTCTGTTATGTTTCAATTCACAAGCACGGCTGGGTTTATCCTCAATGTGCAGAGTTCCTGGAGCTCAGCGCCGCCGCAGCAGTGAAGTCTGCTGTATTGAATGTTGCACAAGCAGGCATTACTTCCGCAATCCTCATCCTTTGTAGCACATATACGGTCATTCTTGCTGATAGAAGTGATATGTCGGCACCTCATATTGTGAATTACAGACTAAACTGTTATGACCGATGTACATATTGGAAATGCATTACAAGGAAAGCGGCTAGGACTGCACACCCATGTTACCTCAACATTGATAGAATGTAAACTCACTGTCCCAAGATATCATTCAGTATCCTGCAGCGGCTTCCTCCAAAACACTCCATCTGAATATTAGAACAGGATACTGACAAATATATCGTTAGTACCAATGTATTTATTTTTTTATCACTACGTGCAAGGTGATGGGAGCTGGCATTTGTACATGTCCTCTTAAGTGCTAGATATATTGCTCCACTTAGTCTTGGTATAGGAAGAGACTGTTGTCATGGATTTTCTTGTTCTTAAGTCCGTAAGTAGATAAAAATAAAACATATAATATATAAAAAAAATTTTAACAAAGCTCACCAGTGTGGCAATGGACGTGTATTATTTTGATAAAAAACATCATTATTAAACATTACATTTATTTATTTATTTTAACGTACAAAGCCTATATATATATATATATATATAATTCAAGAGCTGTAATTTATAATTATTTTTTAACAACTCACATTTATTGTAACATTGTGTGGATATCACATTGAAGAATTTAACAGTAGATAAAAGAGAAAATATCATCTATATATATATATATATATATTTATATATATAATTCTCAAATATGCTAAAATATCAAGAAAATCCCTATATTCTTGATAATAGCAAATCTAACCTTGAATGTGATAAGGTAGGAGAGAGATGGTCAAGCTAGAGCACATGAAGTGCATGTTCATGTAAAAAAGAGTATTAGGAAGAAGGGATAGGATTACATTATATTTGCTTTTTGGCTTTTAGGGATATCCTCTGTTGAGCAAACCTTTTTGTTTGCACTGAAGTTGGTTGAATGGGATAGATAGCCAAAGAAGGTCTCCTTTTGCACACAAATGTTGGAATGCACTACAAAGTACAAAGATGTTGAATTGACCATTCCATATCCTTCACAAGTGTTTGCAACTTGCCTTATGAATTCCAAATCCTTCTCAAGTGGGACATCATGAGAAGTACCAACATTGAAGTTCAAGCCATTCTTACTATATCTCAAGGTGGTGCTATTAAGATTGTTGAGGTTGATTGGTTGCTTGTAGTATGAGTCACAAAGTCGAAATTTGGCTAACTATACCACCTTTAGAATGGAGTTTTTGTATAGTTTTTATACTATACAAAAACTCCATTCTAAGAGTGATCAAAGCTATCTTTGAAATGCTGCAATCTACCAAGACTAAATACAAATGCAGCTCAATCACTAAAAATTGGCGTGAGATTGAAGCTTAGTGGCTGAAATTCCAAGTTTCCTTTTGCTCCTCTACTATTTCCAAGCAATGATTCCAAACTCATTCCATTGTGCCTAGTTTTCTTTGTAGTGCAAGGGGACTTCAACATGTTTGGTTAGTGCTTATTCCTCCGTCTTTTAGCTAATTTATTTTTATCAACCAACATGGAGCATAGCAACTAAGAGTCAATTTGATTGGTACTTTAAAACTTAAACATAGGTTTTGGAGCTATAGGCTAGCATCTCAATATCATATGGTCTATTTTTGAGAAAAACATGGAAATACATGTTTGCAACATGTAACCTTCTATTTGACAAAAGAGAAGGAGGCAAAGCAAATTTGCCAAAAAAGGGCATGCCAAAATCTGTATGGTAGTGGTTTGGGCTCTAAAACATTACTAAAAAAAGAAAAGTGGTGATACTTTATCACAATTGATGATAGATTTGCTATTATTTGAAAAGTAAGTAGTTGATTTGTTATTATCAAGAATACATGGATATTCTTGATATTTCAGCATATTTGAAAAGTATATATGATATTTTCCCTAGATAAAACAATCACACTAAAAGTATGTAAATCATTTGAAGTTAAAACTCTTTTAAAACATCATTCATTTTTGTTTTTTTGCAAGATAATAATATGGTTTCTATTAGAAGATTAAAATTCAAAATTAATACATTACAATTTTATTAACATTATTTGCATCAATTCTGTGAGATATTGGATTAGATGCAAAACCATATGTTATTAATTTCCAATAGAATTCAATAATTGCATCAAGTCGATAAAATTATTTACTAAATATATTTATAAAATAATATAAGCTATAATAAGATGACCAAGTTTAAAAAGAGATATTTGATTGTTAATAATTAAAAATAAAATCAAATAAACACATATTTATATATGATCTTTATTAGAAACACCTTTTCAAAATTTTTCTTCTCTTCTTCAATTAATACATAATTACAAGCTTAAATATAAATATAATTCAAATAGGGTCTTGGAAGAAATGAAAATGATTATTTCTATTATTCTTATTTTGATTCAAGAACATTTTATTGAGTGTTTGTTTTGAACACCAATAGTTTTGTATTTTATTTATTTAAAATAGCTTATTATAATTAAAAGAAGAAAAAAAATCTTGTAATTTTTTAAAATAAAGAATTAAATATTTTAAAATTAATTATAAAAATTACTATGAACATACTATTGCCATTGTAGACTTGATTTAAAATTGGCATCATTCTCTTAAAAATATTTTATTTATAGTTTTATAAATACATGTAGCAAGCATTTTAAAATTATGTATGTACATATTTTAAATTATTATTAATCTTATTGTGTCACGTCAATATATTTTTTATTTTTAGATTAATATCATATACAAACATAAAATCCATCACAAGATTTTTATATGTGTTATTTGATTACACATATTTGCCACCAAGACAATAGAAGATAGGATGTAATAATCAATAAAAGAAATTTATTGGAATTTATTATATAGATATTAATTAATATAATAATTATATTATTTAAGAAGATTAAATCAACCTACTAAAAATTTCAATCAATCTATGTATCTCCACTTTACTATGCTCTCACACCATATAGGGATATGCACTCTTCCAATCCCTCTAGTTTGCATTGTGTAATGTGTTGATTTTGCAAGGAAGTGAGGGGTAGAGAATGAAACTCTTAGAAGATCTATGATGGAGCACATAAAAGGAATAACTTGGTATTTGAGTGTGAGAGGTTAGTTGCAAAGGTAGAAACAAACAACATGAGGATTGTTTTACATTAGAAGGAAGTTGAGAAAATGTTAGAGGTATATTGTGAAGTTGAACAAGAGTGGTATGGCAAGAAGCAAAGGTTTGAAGATGCAATATGATGAAAATGAATAACAATTATTTGTATTTTTATTATTGGTGGGTCAATATAATAACTCCCTTAATTAACTCTTCAGAACTTGGATATACATTTTAGTTATTAAAATATGTAAAAAAATTCCGACATAATTTTTATCCACTGACCTAGAAGGAGTATATTTAACGTCAATTTTGAGTTTACTCAACAACCAATTGGAGTGCCTAGTTTTCCTACCATTCTACCCAAGATTACGAGTTTCTATTACTGTCCCATTATTTTTATAAATGATATATATGGTTATTAGAGCATGCCACACACCGTCTCGCTGTGTGGAGAACTGAGACACTTTGGAGATTTCGTATTCATGTCACAATGCTGAGGTTGAAATTCCTACTTCGTTCATCTTTTTTTCTGTTTCTATCTGCCTAGGTAGGCATCCAGCAGAAAGAGTGTCAATGAGTTGTTATAATACATGCATTTCCGTTTCAACACAATTACCTTGTTACAATGTGATTTATTCGTTTGGTTGCAAGTGAATTGTCCCACTGTTATTTTGGAACTTCACAAAACATTCCGCTCAACTGTTCAAATATTGATGCAGTGTCAATAGCTGCTGCAGCATCCTTCAATTCCTACCTTTACTGAACCACTATTCTACGTACATCACCTATCAGCATAAGATCGCCCCCTCTGTAAGAATCTGCTCATAATATCAATGATCATACCGCGCATTCAACGCACAGTTCAGTGACCTTTACACTAGTTTTAACGCCTGTACGCGTGTGAAGATCTACATACAATCAACGAAGAATGTACACATCAAGGTCACCTTTCCATACACACTTTGCATATGCCCAATCAACTTACAACCTGAAAGTGAAGTGACTACTGCTAACATGAGTTGATAGTCACTTCTTAGTTCTAATTCCCGCAACACTGAAGGCCCTTGTTCTCCTATGGCCCTGTTTTGGAGGATTTGTGCGTAGGAATATCCCCACATGGACAACATAAACCGCAGGTAGACGGCGCAGATGGGGTGCTCAACGCGCAACACAAAAAAAGAAAAAAATAAGATATATGTGCTTGAGGACACAGAACCAGCTTACTAGCCCATAACAAAGTTAATGCAAGTTAAGGAAGTTAAGGTCGTTTCCCAGTACCCTACTAATTGTGTAGCATGAAGATACACAGTAATCACCAACCAACACGCGTCATCATTGCCCGTAAAATCAAGACACTAGTGCAAGGGAACAAAACCAGAAAATTTTCAGGCCGGACAATTTAACTTCTTCGTGTCAAACCCAGGATCATGGTACAGAGATGCTTTCCTCTCTAAGGGGTCCCACATGTGGTAGCAGCTGGTTAAGGATGACAACAAAACAAAAAAACCTAGCCGTCAGGATAGCACTGAGCGAACATGATCCAAATGCAGCTCAGTCAAACAGACTGAAGCCCATGTCCTGCACAACAACAGAACAATACAGATAGTGAGTGACGGCTTTGTGCGAAATTAACTAAACCCTAACCTAAATTATAACCCTAATAAGCACCCTGCACTCCCTTGTGCAGGAATTTTAACCATCTCTAGCGGCGGAAAGAAATGTGAAAAATGGAAGAAATTGAAGAAAGAAAAAATAATCCATTTGAGACAGACTTGTACCATGCTGTGATAAAGATAGGAGATGACCGAACAGATATAAATACCAATGGTATGCAACCCCAACGTAATATTTAATACCCTCTACATTGAAATTCCAACGACATAAAATGCAAATCACATGTGCCTCATTAAAGACAACGAAACGTACATCATCTGACTCTTCCTTCTCCTCCTCCTTCTTGGCTTCTTCCTTCTCCTCGGCAGCAGGGGCAGCAGAACCGCCACCAGCGCCTGCAGAAGACACCACAACACCGCCACCTCCACCTGAGGGTACGGATGCGAACTTTTCCTTTCCTGCTGCAATAACTTCCAAGATATCTTTTCCCTCGAGCTCCTTCAACAATAGGCTTACTCTAGCCGCATCTGCCTCAGCACCGACTGAAAACACCCAGAAAAAGCACACAACATCAGATCGCTACGTAAAGGAAAAATTCACAGCCTCAAAATAGACGTACTCAGAACCACATTGCTCTAATCACGAATTCTGAACGACGCTAAAGAAGCAGAACTCGAATTTCACCCAAATTGATCACAATGGCACTGACCTGCACCCAAGATAGACTCAATGTCCTTCGCCGTGGGGGCGGAGTTGCCTCCCAGAAGGGCCAAAAGGTATGCAGCGACCACCTTCATTTTAGCAGACGCAGATTACGAGAAGGAGGATGGAAGAATGAGCTGCGCAAGAGCAGATACGACCTCGCAAGCGCTGGCAAAGAGAGAGACTCCGGGTCACCCATAACCCTCATGTACGAAACCCTAACCACTCGGACGACGGAGATGGCGCAAAGCTTGGATTCATCCTACGGTCAGGACACTGTTCCAAATTAGGGGCTTTGAAATCAATACAGTGCAAAAAGCCTCAGTGGATGATTCTCATCATTAGAATGAAACGCATCCACATGTGTGCTCTCTCTCTCTCTCTCTCTCTCTCTCCCTCATTCCTTCAATGCGCAGAGGTCTAGCTATGGCATTTTGATGTCAATTCAGCTTGGAGCTCCGTGTTGCGGAGGTAGGGTGGGTGTGGTTTACTGTTGCTGCACCAAGTTAATTGGTGCTCAGTTTTCTTAGCAGTTTAACTGTATTTTCCTTGATAATCTTTGGAGCTTCTTTGGCGTTGTTATGTTACGTTTAATTCTTCTTTGAGTTTTTGTCTGACATTCGTCACGATACTTTTGCATTTGTACAGAGCATCACTTGGTGTAATTCTCCGGTGTAGTATCCAAATGCTCGGTACTTCGCTTCCTCCGCTTGTTCCTGATTTCTTTCCTCGAGTTTTCTCTAAGACGTTTTTACTGGCAAAGAGATCGCGTTTCGAGTGAATGATATCCTATGGGGCCTAAGTTTCTGCTCCATATTTTATCACGTGGCTGAGGTTTGTCAACTCTATGTTGTGCAGAGTGTTGTAGGAGTCTTTTTACTTCATGCGGTGTATGATTACAAATGAAGCCCCCTTGTACGTTGCAATGTGTATCCAGCTAACCACGGTGTTCTTCCGATCGGAAATATTTGTTAGTGTAGTTTCGTGACGATGACATCACACATATTTCGCAGCTCCAACCCCAGTTCGAAATGGTTCAACTCTTTTACTAATGAGAGCTCATATTCTACAATTCTATCTATCGTAATGAAATGTATCCATACATTGTGTCCAATGGTTTTGTATTGAATCTAGCATACATTATCAAACCCCTTGCCTTACATAATTGTGGAGACCTTTCTTCCTTTGTACTTCTTCACTATTCGTTCCTGATTTCCCCTTCACCGTTTCTATAAGTTTCCGAAAGAAAAAAAAAAAAAAAAAAAAAAAAAACGAAGACTGCATGTGTTTGCGCAGCCAAAAAATTAAGTAGTTAAACCCCAATATTAGGTCCATCCCCATATGCGTCTTTGTTGGGCAGAGACGCAGATCTAGGTGGAGTATCCGAAGACCTCATTGAACTTGTCCACGACCAAAGTGCCGGAGTCGATGGACTCAAGAGGGTCCTTCCTCAATCGATGCCTCAAACAGTTGGGCATGACAGCCCTGATGTCCTCAGCGGTCACTTCAGTCCTTCCCTGGAAGGCAGCGAAGGCTTTGGAAGCTCTGTTGCTGACAATGTCACCCCGCAATCCGTCCACATCCAGCTCCGAGCAAACTTGCGAAATCTTCACTCGCAAGTCGTGTGGCACCTTCACGCTGGACAGAATTGCGCGAGCGTTGTCGATTCGATCACGAAGCTCCTTCTGGGTGGTATCGTAATTCACACGGAAGGACTTGGGATTCGCGTCGAACATCCCTCGCTCTTCCACAATCTTCACTCGAAGCTCGGGGTCCTTAACTGTTCCAACCTGCGTAAACGGAAATTTGAAAAACTCAGCAGGCGTACATAACCCGAGAGGATTTGCATCCACACTTAATCTTGTAGCTTTACGCCAAACTTCAACTTGTAGAGTAATTGAAATAGTGAAATATATAGATAATTGACGAATTGAGGCTATGGGTTGGGTTCACGGCACCTGAGCGTGCATGCCGAATCGATCCAACAATTGGGGTCGGAGTTCACCCTCTTCAGGATTACCGGAGCCAATGAGAATGAAGCGAGCTGGGTGAGAAATTGAGATGCCCTCTCTCTCTACCGTGTTCCATCCAGACGCTGCAGAGTCAAGCAAGACATCCACTAGATGGTCGTCCAGCAGATTAACTTCGTCCACATACAGAATTCCACGGTTTGCCCTTGCCAATAGCCCTGGCTCAAACGCCTTTACTCCCTCAGTGAGCGCCTTTTCAATGTCAATCGTTCCACACACACGATCCTCCGTAGCTCCTAGTGGCAGATCCACCATGTTAATACGAGAAGTAGCAACAGGCAGCTCCTCATTCGCCTGAACCCTCTTCCTGACCTCCTCGCTCATCAATTCGGGGTCCTGCGGGGAGGAGTTGAAGGGGTCTCCAGCGACAACCTCGATTTCGGGCAACAAGTCCACGAGAGCACGCACTGTGGTAGATTTTCCTGTTCCACGATCGCCCATGATCATCACGCCTCCAATCTTGGGGTCAATGACATTCAATATCAAGCACATCTTCATCTCCTCTTGACCCACAATGGCTGTGAAAGGGAAAACGGGACGGGCCTCCCCTTCGGACGCCGCATTCTGTTCCATTAAGAAACCACTCCACTCATTTCAGAATCTCCTAAAACATTAGGGAATCAACAGATGTCATCGAAAAACGTAAACCATCTTGGCACACAGGAAAGCGAACGAATCGGGACAGAAACTTGACATCGGTGAGATTCTCCTGCTCCTTCACAGGAATGGCAACATTGTTGATTCTCAAAGCGCGACCAGCTCTCCTCTCCCCCGACCGACACCTAGACCACGAAACTCTGCTAGAAGCGCCCTGGCAGAAGCTGCTCCTGCGACACGCCAAAACCCCAGTGCTACCGTTTAGGTGTGCCTGCTTGGTAGTGCTGCTGCTCGCACTGACAGCAGCAACTGCTGCTGCAGCTTCGCGCACCAGACAGGCCATTGTTTCTCTGCAACTACAGTGACAACCAAACCCACTAGAAACGCAAGTCTTCGTTAACTGTACAGTAGGAAATGAGGTGCAGGGAACAGGGTTTTAGCGATGTACAAGAGGGTGCAGCGTGGCTTTGAGCATCTAACCAGGGAAAGTGGAGGTGAGTATTAGTTTCGGACAGTCCTGTGGCTGCGATTGGCTGACGAGGGGCTCCCACTGGATATGGCTTGTCGCCGAAATCATCTCATCCATTCTCGCTCCACCAAATCCTAAACATCCTCCGCTTTCAATTCAGTTACCCGTCCAGTCATATCCGGGCCAACAATACTCCCCCTTTCAATTCAGATACCCGTCCAATCATATCCGGGCCAACAATACTCCCCCTTTCCTTACGTTCGAACACAGAAATTTGCACTTTCGTAAAATGAATGGTTTCTGGAATTGCGTCGAGGAATCGGAAATTTTTAGAATTTGAGCCAATCGGAGGGGCTTGCTGTGAAGTCCACAACGATAGCAGCGGGGAAATAGATAAAGTCTAGGTCTGCAATGTGGAGGTCCCTGAATGGCGCTGCACCGTACTCCTTGGCCACCAAAGGAGTCCGATGCAGCCTCTCGGAAGCAAGGAGTTGTATTAGTTTCCCTTGTTGTGGACCATCCCCTCCATAGACACTCCAGGGGCTTTCTCTCTACCTTGGTCCTTTTTTCATCCATCAAGCCATATGAAATATCCGCCGATACTTTCAAAAATCCGCCACCGTTGAGCATAGAATTCGGCTGGGCAGCTGCAGCAGACCACCCCCGCTTTGATCATATTTTTTTCGAATTGGGAGATTCTGTGATATTGCTTTGCTGCGTTTGAATCTGGGAGAGCTGCGCAGCGGGAGGTTGAGTATTTGCTGTGGGAAGTTTCAGCCGAAGAGATGCCAGTGTTGCTTGCAGCAGTTGCAGGGTCGGCCACAGCCGGGAGCCTAGTGGTTGAATTCCCGGCCTCTGTTGCAACCCCCCATAGCTATGGTACTAATGGGTTGTTGGCCATAGCGAGGAAGCCGCTTGCGGCCAGGCTGGATGTGAGTAGCAGTAGGGCTTTCGGGAATAGTCGTTTCGAAACTAGACACTCGTTTCCCTTGGGGAAGAGATTGCGTCGTTCTTGTTTGCGAGCCTCGGCACTTCAACAGACCTCGACCAATAGTATCAAATGGGTGCTTGACCCTGTTGGTAAGTGTTCTTTGATCTCTCATCGTCATTTCCATCCGCTGCATCCGTCTGGCATCGAAGTGAGAAACTTTAGCATACAAGAATTGTCGACAATGCACTATTGTCTCTTCTTCGACTGCATTGTAATGGTCAATCGTGTCACAATACTCACATTAAGCATATCAGAAGTCGCTAAATTGTTGCGTCCAATGATGTTCAATTAAATGGGTTTGATATCAAGAATGAATCATTTAGCAACCGTCACGTTTGTTCTTTTTTAGGTGACGGAAATACAAGCCATCTTGACGCTCCAGTGCCTTTGCCTAGTGGCTTCGAGCTGGCATCGGTAAGTATTTCCCTCTAATTTCTTGGTTTGGCTAACTGCAGTTGCATTTATGTACGGACTTTGGGTGTCACATCGAAATGTCAATCATAATTTGCTCGAATTACCTATCAGTCGTTTGTTGATGTCAATTCTTTGTTAGTGTCTGAATTGGTAAGATATGGTACTTGATTGCTAAGCGGCATTCATTTCTGTGTTGCCTAGCCAACTTCTGTGCACTGAACTGTTTTTGGGTTTATTCCTGTGGGTCAAACAGTGATTGAGCGCCTTGAGTGATTCGTAAGAGTAGGGTTAACTGATACATAGAGAAACTATTCGAGCACCTGTGAATCTGATCATACGCTTCATCGTGGTTAAAATGAAGTAAACGGAGCTTGGCAATGTACATTTTGTTTATCTTTTCACTGAAGAAATCAGTTAAGCGTTTGATCTACAATGATACAGAGTGGCATAGGGGTTGTATCAGGATAAAGATTAGGAATATTTGATGATGTTTTTACTAGTATAATGTTTGGATTCCGCAGGATGCCGCCACCATTGGACGCGTTAAAGATAGAGCTGACGTTGTGATTCCTGTAGCCACAGGTAAGCAAGTGCCACAGTGGCTCTGTTCAGGCTTGTTTTGTTTGTGTTCTCTAATTTCTTACGTAACCATGAGTTTTTAATGAAGACGGTTATTCGGAATGATTGCACTAATCTCCACTCTATGGACCCGATTTTCTGTTCAGTTTCCGGTGTTCATGCACGGTTGGAGAAGAAAAAGGGGGTACTCTACATAACTGATCTGGACAGCACAAACGGCACATTTATCAATAACAGGAGAATTCGGCCTGGAGCTGTGACGCCTGTAGCACCTGGAAGCCACATTACCTTTGGTATGGATGCATATTAATAGTTGATGTGCTTCCTGAAAAATGTCTAGTCCACGTGGGTTTTACCTGCGAGGTGAACGTAAACATGCCGCTATCAAACCTCCCTCACATTTAATAATAAGTTGGAATGTATAAAAATAAGAATCATTTGAAATCAACCATCGATTGAACCAACAAGAAAGTGTGACACTGTTTAGATTGCAATTGACAAAATAAGAAATCTGAAATCTCAATGCAAGCTGGTGAAGTGAATCTGGGAAGTAAATCATTTTGTGCATGAAATGAAGTTGGGCACGCCTAATAAGTGCAAGCTACATGTAATATGCAGGTGACGAACACTTGGCTGTATTCAGGTTCTTACAACTCGAAGACTCCTCGCCCGCCGAGACACCTACAGAGGAGTCTTTGGAGGAATCTGTGGAGACACCTGCAGAGGTAGTGGCGGAGGCACCTGCACCTCCTCAGAAAGAGGCCCAATGAAAAGTTTCTGACCTGTTTTCGGATTGATCGTGAAGGTAGCTAGGGTTGAGCATTTACCGATTGAGGTTGGAATCTAGGAGTTGTTTTTCTAGAGAAGAGATGCGTGTTAATAATACAACATGTATTGTTGCACGATCGTTCATGCTTTGAGGATACGGGTTCTGCCACACTAACTGTGTTTCAGAACTTAGTCACTGCTTGGATAAAGCATGTGCTTGTATGTTTGTAAATTCTCCTCAAAACATTGATACAGTAAATGCAATACGTGTCCCTTTCCAGCCCATTCATGCGACACAGAATTTTTTTTCTTTTTTTTCTTTTTGGATGTGCTTTAGTATTGTCATAGAGCCCATTCACTGGTGGTAAATAGTGCTCTTGATGGTCTTTCTGATGGTATGGATCCTATTCCACGAACGCAACATGGCAATTACTAGCATGAAGAGGGTCGCTTGCGCGTAAGTGCCTAGAAAATGCAGGCTTTTAGAGTGGGAATGGAAATAGAAATCTATGACTTGAATGACCATTTACGTTCAATCCATAACTTCGTGGTTGATTAGGTTGAATCTTAGTTCAGACTTGAGTTTGGTCCTTTGATTTTAAGTATCATTTCTTCTGAATGGAATCCAGAAAGTTATTCAAAGTAACTATTGAACCAGAGATCAGGACCAAAAGCCACACTGTATCTACCTAAAATGATTTGGTACTGTTTCATATTGTCTGTTCGACTGGAGGTTTAACGGACATATTAACTTAGAAAACAATCTTTCTAGACTCTATCCTGAGATGGGACGAATTCACTAAGGTTTTGAGTAGGCGCGTTGTCAAATGTTGTGCTCAATTTCATAAATCGAGACAAATCGGGGAGACGATACTTTCAATGATCCTTGTCCCTAGAGACGCTTGATCCATTAAATTTGGGTATGCTAACCTGCCTTCTATTCCTTGGCATGAGCGAACCACACCAACTGAAAATTTTGATTCTGGTATTCATGCGACTCAAAAAGCCACATGAAACGCCCATAGATGAAAATCTCACATCATACCCCGACAAAACCTGATCAATTGTGGACACAACGGATTCATTACCTGAGGAAGTCAATAAGATGAAATGCAATGCTTCTGGGGTCAACATGATCAGCTTTACTAAATCCGAATCAGGATTTCATAACAATCATTATCATTGTCAATATTCGGTCCCTCAGCTCAGGAAAGTACAAAGATGGCATGAAATTTCTGATACGCGAGATCTACTAACAACTCGTAAAAGAAAGACATCCATCCTGCCAAGAGCAGCTTGGAGTCGATGGTTATCAGGCACAAATGCCATCCACATGTCGAATTGTGATCATGAAGATGTTTTAGCAAGAGGTTATGCCAGGTTAAACAAGGGATAATTTGACGAAAGCTCTGAAAAGTGATTCTCGTAAATAACAGAAAAACTAGTGCAAAACACCATAAGACTATCCAGGATATATACAGGTATCTCAAATCGGGAGAATTATGCGATGGACGAGACTCAACATGTAGCCCTCAAGGTTTCAGTAGCGGCAATTGCTGCCACCACCAGACGAGCTGGGAGTCTGCCCTGGAGACAACGGTCAACATTGAGAGGCTCAAGGGAAGTACCATCAAAGATGAGATTGACGCCAGGCAAAGGAACATTGTTTGTTCCCTCCTCAACGAGATTGAGGTTCAACAAACCACTACTACCTTTGTGCAAAAGAGGTCTAGTATCCGCATTTACTCCACCAACTACAACGTATGCTGAAGTTGCTTTGGAACCGGAAGCTCTGTAATCCATGATGAACTCCTGTAGCTTTCGCCGAAGGTCATGCATTCCCTGCCGGTGTTTGAGGAGGGATTTAGACGTAAAAAGATCCGACCCAATCACACCTTCGCAGACTCTTCTGCATAGTTCTGTATCGAAAAGTGGAACTCCAAACTCAACACTTTGAGGAACCCACTCAAAGCTGCTATTCTTATTTTCATGAGGAGGTGGGCTTTCTCCTATCTGTGGAATCTGTACTAATCGAATGTAACCAAGAGTCTCAAGAGCAAGTTCGCTGGCAGCTTGAATAAGAGATGGGCGAATGTCGGAAGATTCAGAGATCGGTAGAGGAACATTCCTCGTCACAGGCTTTCCACTGCCTCCGGAATCCAGGTGTGTTTTCGGAAAGGGTTGGACGAGTACAGCATTGTGCTTCAATAAAGTGTTCAGACAATGCAATAGAATATTCCCTTCTACTAGCGTACCTTCGAATTTGCCTCCAACTCCGTTTACACCAGTTCCATCCCATGTCCACATAAGAGCTTTTGCACAACCAGCTAGTGGAGAAGGTAGAGTTCTAAACCGCTGACCTTTGATCAATGCAACAGATACGGGCCCTGATCCTGCTGTCTGATATAACAGAAGTTTCATCCAAGGAGAAATGGATGCACGTGATGGAGGGCCAAAATGTGCAGGGCCAAGACCGTCAGGAGAGGAAACAAAAGGAGAGGGCAGTGGTATCATTGACACAACCACATCATAGTCTCTCTGTAGAACTCGTTGCATGGTGGCTGGAGCCAGGTCTTGCAAGCTTTCTATCCGGAGTACGTCAACACGCGAAACAGGCTTGTATGACTGCACATTCTCCTTCGAGGAAATTCGTCCTGTCAGACTGAGGGCGGTGTGAAGCTGCGCAGCCGCATTCGTGTCCACCATATGAGACATGACAACAGTTGTTTCTGCAGTTTCTGCACCGCTTTCAGAGGCATAGCTGTAGCCCTCTTCAAAAACACCAGTATTTGGCTCAAATGATTGTCCCGACTGAAACAGATCATCACTATCTACAGAACTGTGAGGCTCTAGCTGAAACCCGCTAAAATCCACTGCGTCTTCTTCCTCAACTTCCAAATCAGCGCTTTGAGACCTCAAACATTCTAAAGCGTGACGAAGACTAAAGGCATGGTCAGCAAACTGTTGCAACTCTCCTTCCATTTTTGTGCCCTCAACTTGCTGAAGATCCTCACACATTTCAGCAACACTGGTATCCCCAAGCTTCCCAGCTTCGTATAGTGTTACTGCATGGCCTTTTAGGCCTGCAAATTCAATAGTTGGTGTCAATGGTAAATAATTTCTTATGCATTCGGAACTATTCAAATCTAATAAATAGTAGCTTGGATGCAAGTAAAATTCAAACCTGGAGAGAGAGAACCCATCATTAAATATGATGTAAGGTTAGCATCGACCATGAAGGCAAAACGCGTCAAGCCAGCTTGGCTTTTCACTGAATCTATATCTGATGGCCCCGAAGCTCCTAACCGGGATGGGCTGGTGAATGGACTTAGTTGCCGATCATCTCCAACACTCCGAGGAGATTCCGGCATCCCTGTATCCTGTAAAAAGGAAACTGGGTCGAGAAACTTCTTAGCCCATCCGAGTCGAGAAGCTAGCGAAACAGCTGACTGGAGTTGCTCAAGGTTGGCTTGAAGAGTTTGCGCAAGTTCTGCAACAGTTGTTTGCTCGCTGGAGGCCACAAATACGGCGTAAAGTAACCTGAAGACCCCAGACAAATGCCAATTAAGGCTAGTTCACAGCCATCTGCGGCTAACATCAATTCCAAAACTGCAGGTCATGGCTTACTTAAATGTTCTAAAAAGGCCTAAATGTCAAATGAGTGATGAGAACTCTTTATTTGTTTAGATCTTGTCCCTAATTATCAATGTTCATCTGTTCAGGTCAAGATAAGAGTAAGCCTTGCTTTGTTCACAGCATTATTTCCAGGATCACATCTAAAGAAGGAAAAAAAGATTTTCTTCAAAGCATAAACTTACTCTTCTGTCGGATCCTCGTACTGCTGATTTCGGTTTGAAACAAAACCCTCCAGAGTTGAAACTGCACAACTCAATAAGGATATGGATAAGAAGTCACAAGGCAATATTTCTCCAGTTTGACGAAAAAGTCTGAATTAAAGCATTAAACATGACCGTGAGCACAACTCGTGAATGATAACCCCATGCAACCCCCATCCTTATAATTCATCATCTTCAATTTTCATGTATAATTCAAAATACGGAAATTCAAGAATCTAACTTGACAAGCCCTATCACGATAATACATTTACTATAAATAACAAGAATTATTAGGTCATCTATACAAGTCTGAGAAGCCACGAGTGTGGAATCTTAAGTGATATTGAAGACAGAAAGAGTAGCCAAGAAAAATAACTGTAAAAGCATGCACAGAACAGACAGAGTCTAGATAGGGATTCAACGACGAACCTTGAAAGTGGTCATCGGGGTACACAGGAACGTCCAAGTAGATCAAGCCTCGTCGATAAAGAGAACGCAACACTTCGAAATCAACCTCACCGACAAGATTTACTCCCTCCTTACCTAAGCGATCGCTACTGTCGCCGTCACCTCCACTTATAACTGCCATCTCCTCCTCAGACAATTTCTACGTCATGACACGAAAGAACACTCTCAGATCACCATAACAACCTCCAAATACCACCAAGTTACCACAACCTTACGAGAAATGTAACATGGTACCCATAGAGCAATCTCCAACCTAGGCAAAGACATCACACGCCTATAGTCCATTTTCACCTATCGTATTGGAAAATAGAAGTTGAAGTTCAAGGCTTTCCCGAATTTTACCCGATACTCATCTGTGGTCAAATTAACAAAACAAACAATCCACCACGCTTCCATACGGAAGTCAACCGGCTGTGTAGGCAACATTTCCTTTACTATGGATTTGTTGAGCTTCCACATTAGTTTCTGCACCGAACCCCCAACATAATTTCAGGATACGCATTGCATAGCACATATTTTGTTGGTGACCTAGGCATCTGCATATAAATAATTAGGCAAAGTACAGGCTACAGCAGCTCTAATTCTCCTAACTGCTGAAGAGTTTACACAGGATACATTTAGTTTTACCTTCGCGCGACATTTATTCATTATGTCAATAAACTCGTTCCGACCTATTCCCGTAAGCCTTAAAACATCTGCTGCTGTAAAGTTGGGAATCGAATCATATGGTTGCTCTGCAAAGAAGGCGAACTTCAGATTAGAAACTGATCTTACTTCAAGGGAGTGCAACATCAATCGAATTAGCCACCCTTCCAGCATAATGGAACCTCTGGCATCATTCATCGCTTATCCTGACCTCCAATCCCATGGCCTAATGTTAAGCACTGCTTCTGTGAATTCCTACACCTCCACTTCTACAGTATTCCATGGTAAAGAACACAAACTATTAAACAAATCGGTATCCAGCTGTCACTGACAATTGAAATACAACAGGTTCATGTAGGATAAATGATGTACCATTTCTCATCACATCATACAGCATTCCGTGGTAGTATCGGAAGGGAGTAATACGCAGAACTCGGCAGACATTCTCTGATAGATGATACGGAAACAACTGATAAAGCCAAACAAATAAGATCGCCCATGGTGTAAGATTATAATTCGCACTTTCAAACCTTTAAGTGCACCTTCTGAACAACTTCACCTCAATTTTTGACGCCAAACATATACATAAAGCTCATTTTCATTGAATGTAACTACCCCTTGAAGAACCCCTCCCTCTCATCAAATATCTAAAAAAGTACGCACCGCAAGATTTTTTTGCAAATAACGAACGAGTTCTTCATAGTAATCGTTCTCTCGGCAAGCATTACGTGCTGCACATTCACTCCACTTCAGACGTTTTTTGATGCAATATTCCTTCACCCTAAAGCTCCGGGAATCAAAGAGCACAATTAGTACACATGAAGCACGTCTCGGTTACGTTGCTTTCGTTGTTTTCGTTGGTTTCATTGCACTATGAATTCTAATGATGTCAGTATTTTAAGACAAAATATTATCCAAGATATGATTCCAACCCCTTCACATAGAAGATATACTTCATAACAGTGGAAGCCAAAGAGATTCACATTAGACTGGATTGAGATAGAGATAACCTTACCGCTTCTGATACTCTTCGTTTGAAAACAACGTAAGCTTGAGACGCTTAGGGAGTTTCTCCCAGGGCGTCTCCTCCAATATGGCTTTCACTAACATGTCCTCCTCTGTATTCAATGTCGCATGCTGCATTTTGCCTGTAGTTTCTTTTGCAGCGTCCGATACGTTGTTGCCGCTGTGCTATCATTCAATTCCCTACCTAAAAGGCACAGAACAAAAGTAAAATGTGAAGGGCGGTACACACACATTAGACAAGGAATTGTCATGTGCTTACCTGTTCGAATACGAGCTAAATTCGACATCAAGAATATACAACTGTTTCGTCTGTCGTAGATTTTAAGCACTACCGTAAAAATGAGTATTAACAGCTTATGTTCGATAGGATATGGACCTTCATTATTAGTCACACCTGGATAGATTCTGCTTGATTTCAAGCAATTCCTATACGATTATGATCCTAACTGTTTACATCCAGTTTTTTAAATATGCATATTGACCTGAAATAAGTGCTCGTGCAGCTGAAAAGTCCCACGCCGGAGTACTTTCGTCTTTTGATGATTCAATAAGCTTTAAAGACTGAAGCCCAGCCCCAGCCATTAACCAAAGCCCGGGGTATCATGCTCACATATAACTAAACGTAGCTCTACTACAGCCTGATGTGGATAACTGGCCGCAAAATGACGATGTAGCCACGAGGAGGTCCATCTCGTACAAAATTTCGATCTTAAGCGATTGATTGTAAAGAAAATAAATGCCACAAACAGTGGTGGCAAACAAGGGGCCACTACTGTCCATGCTTATGTACTGGAAGAGAACGAGAGGCGCATCCCAGCGTGAAGGCAATCAACGTCATTCCGGTCTCGTGTTCCTATTCGGACAATAATTCCTGAACAGTATCATCCTAGATCTGTTTGCAGTCTCTTAGCTGCAGCCAGATAGCCTAAAACTTATCATCACGAAAATACGGATCTCTCTACATTAAACCCCGATCATCTTAACCACAGTGTGGATTGCATATCGTCCATGAGATCATCATAAAACAACAACCAGCCCTCGAAAATTCAAAATACTTCTCAAATTTCGGCAACGCTCAAAACCAAACCCACCGAATTACATCTACTCAACCAAATCACACCGACAAAAGACGTATCAATCCCGATAGAATGCAGTCGAACTTACGGAATCGTTCGTCCCCGCAACAGTAAATTGAGTCGATCGCTCGGTAAACCTAAACCAAGAGCAGCACCACCGCACGGCCCGCGTATTACAACACGTAGTGCCAGAATAACCAACACGAGCATACAGAAAAGTGAATTGATGACTGCTGTGCACGTAGAAACTGGCCGCGTGCTTGGACGAAGCACGATTCGTCTGAGTGCCACTCTTTGAGCCGAGCGTCGGGAAGAAGGAAGACTACGAGTACGAGGGGGCGGCTGGAGGGTGGGGCCGCAAAGACAAGTGGCGTCAGTCGGCGTCAGTCAGCGTCACCGTCTCCCTTAGATCCTTGTCAAAAAAGTACGTTTTGCATAAAAGGCTGGCTTCTATAGCTTCCCCATTCCCCACCAAACTTGAGCTTACCAAAGTTGTAAACTGAACCTTGCCTAATTTATTCATATTTTAGCTGCACATACTTTGAATCCAATTCATTATGGGAAAACTATAGAGTAACTCTGTATTTAATGATTGATATCAAATCAAATTCTCATAATGATTGAGATGTTTTTTTTTTTGGATTTTAGTGATGAAGGTGGGCTGAAAGTAGTATCCAGCCTGTCCTGAGAAAAAATATTTGTCAATAGTGTCCACGTGTGCTTTAACAAGTCATCATACATGGTACAACATTTCAATTAACACAAGGACTGTTTACATAAATATTATGTCCAACTTATTAAGTGTCTAACGAATCATTATCAAGTATTTAAAGTTTGTAAGAAAATGTATTCAAAAAACTATTCAAAAGAACCTCAAAGTACATAGATGTAGAATAGATCAGTTGCTTCTAAGATAAATTGTAATGAATAAATATATTAATTAATAACAAAAAAATTTAGACCCTATGTAGAGTATAACATACATTGTGTAGATTGCAGCTTGGAGTAAAAAAAATACAACATTAGAAGAAAATTACATTCAAGTTGTTGAAAAAGACTATTTATTTACCAAGGAAGGTTCTTAAACACTTTTTTTTAAAAAAAATACACTACGATGTATATTATTTTTAAATAAAATATTAAATGATATCACAATAATTGACATAAAGGAATATTTTTGTAGTATGTACAAAGACAATAAATTAATAAAAAAATAATAATAAATTACAATAAAATATTTTAAATTATTGGTGTTTATATTTAATTATTAAAAGTATCATTGATTTATATTTATTTTTTAAAAATAAAATTTTAAATTTTAAATACATCATTTTTTATGAAAAAATTACATTAAAAACTAATAATTTGGTAATAAATAAATAAAATAAAATAAATAAATAAATGGTTATTTTAAAATTTAAAGTAATGATTAAGATTAATTAAAAAACTCTTGAACTAACTAAAATAGTATAATAAAATATTAAGATATATTTATAAAAATTAAAAATTAAAAAATTATTGAAGCAATATCTTGATATTGTTAATACTACATCTTATATGGATGTCAGGAATTTAGACCACTTATTCTATAACAATTTTGTAAAACTTAAAAATCTACATTATTAAGATTTGTTATTCTTCATCTTGCTAACTTACTAGACAAGACATTATGATTGTCACAACCATCAAGATAACGTAATCGAGATGAAGATCCTCAAAAATGACATGTCCTTTTTCAAATAGATGGCAAGATATAATATGTTTGGTATCACAACCTTAGAATAGAGTTCTAATGTTTGGTGATTTTATTAGAGATAAGAACAATTCTTGACGGTGATTCAAATGTTTTATTTGAAGGAAGTTACAAAGGCCTCAATAACGATTAAATAACAAGGTGGTCTTCTTATCCTAGTATGATACACTACTGATGGTTGAGAGGATCTATCAACCATCTTCAAAGAGAACAAAGATTAGAATATGTGACAAATACAATTTATCACATCTTGGATTTTCTTAATATATAAAGTTCACTATTTTATATGGCTGAAGAAGAGAGACGTGAAATATGGGGTGGATCTTTATAGACTTTGATGGATATAATTAATAAGCAATAAGATTGACTTATTCAATAATAAAAAAAAGTCAAAGCCTATGGTAATCCAACTTGTCACAAGGACAAGTAGTCTTGATATTATCACAAAGTAACTATACCTTGTCAACTATGTTGAATTGTGGTTGTTTGTTGCAATAGACATTTGTATTGAATTTTTGTCATTCTTAAGCTTCTTTTAACTACACCTTCATTATTATAGGTAACTTTGACAAATAATTTGTCAAATCTTCTCTAATAGGATTATCAACTTTTAAAAAGTTAAAAGTATCAAACCTTGGATAATAAACATAATTGGCAAAAAAAATGTTTGTTGAGTGGAAGAATGTACCAAATTATTGTACGTAAACTTTACCAATAATAAAAGAGTTGTTTAATCATCTTGATGATAGTTAATGGTATACCTGAAGTATTGCTCAAAAACTTGATTCACCTATTCTATTTGTCCATCAGTTTGAGAATGAAAAGCCATAGAGAGCTTTATATTTACTTTAAAAATTTGAAAAAGATTTTCCAAAATCTTGATATAAATTAAGTCCCTTTCTTTGATATAATATCTTTGAAGAATCCATGATAGCGATAGATGTTGTTAACAAAAAACTTAGCTATTTTTTTACCTACAACAGATTTTATACATAGTATAAAATATGCCATCTTGATAAAATAATCTACTACTATAAATATAAAATTATATGAACCTAACACTAGAAGATTTGTGATAAAATCCATAGAAATAGAAGACCATGATTGTTTTGAAATAGGTAATGGCTGAAAAAAGTCCACAAGGTCGATGGCAAAGAGTTTTGGATCTTGAATAAATATCACATGATTTTACAAAGTCTTTGACTGCCTTCCACATTTGAAGCCACCAAAAATCTCTCAATATTAGTTCTAAAGTCTTCTTGTATCCAAAATGTCTTGCTGCCGGAAAGTCATGACGAGTTTAAAGAACATGTAATTGTGCTCTATCTTTTAGAATGTATAATCATCTCTAAAATAAAATAATTTGTTCTTAAACTCAAACTTTAAAGTATTAAGAGACTTAAAAGAATTATTCTTGATATCATGGATAAGAAGATTAGAGGATATATTTGATTGAATTTACTTGAATAAAGATTGAATCAATAATAATTCTTGATTTTATTACTAGAAGATAAAAATTCTTTGGCTTCAAAAAAAATATATTTTTTTAATCAAAAGATGCATGTCTTTTTTTTGGTGTAAGATAAGAACATCAAGAAAGGACGTTTAACAAACCTTCTTATTTTTCAAGTCGATAAGTGATCTTGAAATCAAATCTTGATAAAGACATATTCCAATAAGCTTGGCAATCATTCAAAATACATACTAATATAAAATACTTGAAGTTCTTGTGATCAGTATTGAAACATGACCAATTTATCTCAAAAGTCCAAGACCCTTCTAATCCATAACAACATAAAACCTCATCACAAGGTAGCACAAATTAGACCAGAAAAAAATTAAATAAAATTAAATAGAATGTTATACAAAAGACAAAATTGAGCAACCAAAATTAGAACAAAATAAAACAAAATAAAAAGATACAAAATCTAATTTTATTAAGAGAAAGGATCCAAAGTCATATCTGACCAAGTGTCCCAAAAGGCCTTTGCCAGTCCTATTTATACTTTTTTCTATGACCTTAGACTTTCTAAAATATTTATAGGTAATGGATTCTAATTAAATAACCACCTTAAATTCCTTCTAGAAGGCTCTATGGTAGATTCTACTTAGATAACCACCCTAAATTCTTTTTAGAATGTTCTACAATGGTTCCTACTTGGTCTACTAATATAACTCCAATTCCAGAAACTTTTATAACTTTTCAAATATGGTTCTAACTATCTATTTGTTGTCGTAGTGTAAATGCTTATAGTATGTAAAAATTAGTTAGAACACATTAAATGTTAATAAATCTAAATGTATGTTAGAGTGGATAATAGATTAAATTAAAAAGAGTTGGTATAAAAAAAACTTTATTTTGTTTTCCTTACTTAGTTTGATTATAGTATATAAAAGTTATAGAACCTTAATGTTAAGTATGAAGCCTTGAGAGGAGATAGGGGCCTAAAGATGAAGATTTAAACTAATAGGAGGTTAATTGGGAGGGATGAAACCAAGGCATGGTTGGATGAAGGTAGAAATAAGGATCTTCATCCCCATTGCTCGAAATCCATGCCCAATGGGCTTTTAGGAGGCTGCCCGCGACCTTGATAAGGGTTTTGGCGACTTCAAAGAGGCCATTAGGAAATCAAAGGCAAGATTTGTAAAGTTTAGGGTTTTGGCTACAATTTTTGTGCAAATTTTATAGGGTTTGGAGTTAGGGTGAATAAGTTATAGCCGTTTGAAGTTAAGGTGTCAATTTGAGACCTACTGTTACTCTTTTGAGTTTAAGAGGAGTCTTACGGAAGCTTTTGGAGATCGGAAGGTGCGGCTGGAAGGGCAACTTCAAGACATACATCTTTTGCGAAGAAAATTTTGCATTTGGAGTTTATGTGAAGGAGTTATAGGGAGTTAAAGACAGTGCATTCAAATCAAAGGCAGTAAGTAAGCGGTTTTGTTCAAAGTAGTGTTAGGAGCCATAACTTGAGTTTTCGAACGAAATTTTGGCTCAAACTTTGGGAGAATGTAAAAATTTGTGTTAAGAAGCTATCTATAAAAGTTTCGTGGCATTTGCACTTATGGTTTGTGAGATATAAAGAAAATTGCGTGCGGGTATATAAAGATTACGGTTTGAAGCGACTGTTAGGGTTTTGAAGATATCTCAAGATCCGCGACGAATTTGCGGTTGAAATTTGTTGTACAAATTAATAACAACATATCAGTACTTCATGTAAATTTTGATCTTGTTTGGACGGTTGGATCAAGAGTTATGAGGTGTTGAAGTGTAGAAGAATTTCCACACAAGGATATACAAGGTTTTAAAGTACTTCTACCATATTTTGGTTGTT